GAGAAACTCATTAGCCGCAAAGTGTACATTCGGTTACATAGTCATTGTTCGGATGATGTATGCTCAGCCAATGACATTCTACTTCACCAGACACTTTGTCATTGCCCAATCACAATGTGATTTTGAATTGTAGACTTCGAAATAGTAGAATGGAAAAGTACTGAACAAAATTTCACTCACTGGTTTAGTGGCCTATTGTAGGTGACAAAACTATAAAATTCGAAGTACTATTTTTGAAAATTACAAAAAACCATTTCCCAGGGTGATGCAAACTATAGACGGACTTCAAGCTTGGCAAAAAAGTCGATATATATGACGTTTGATACATGTATTTACCATTCTAGAAGTTTCTAAGTGTTAGTAATACAACCATAAATTTGTCAGCGACGCCAATTTAAAACACAAGATGCCAAGAGGCAAGCTATTCACCCCAGAGCAAGTTGGTGCCGTTCAGGCCCTCCACAACGAAGTCAAAAGCAACCGGTACATTGCACGTACCATTGGATGCAGCGAAAACGCATTCGGACTTGTCTGTCTCGAGACGCGCAACCAAAGCCACGAAAACTCGTTGGCAGGAAGCTAAAAGTGACCAAGTAAATGCTCCACCGCATCTTTCGAATGGCTCCGATCATGCAATTTCGTCCAAGCGTATTGCCGATGCCTTAGATAACAAAATAAAGCCATCTACTGTGCGTCAACGGTTGCGTTCAACGAAGCTGGTCAAGATCATCAAACGAAAATCTCATCCATCACTTAAGTCCCACCACAAGAAAGCTCGCGCCAAGTTTGCAGCCGAATGGACCTGTGGCCCCGCATCGCTTTAGCGATGAAAATTAATTCAATTTGGACGGCCCGGATGGTTACCAATACTACTGGCACGACCTCAGGAAGGAGGATGAAATCTACACCAAGCGCGAGAGCGGTGGGGGCTGTGTCATGATTTGGGCTGGCATGAGCGCTTATGGGCGAAGACAGCTTTCTATCCTTGAAGGAAAGCAAAACAGTTCAAGTTACTGTCGCACTCTTGACATGCACTTGTTGCCGTTTTTGGGAAACCTGCGTCGAAATTTGGGGGTTGTGGAGCCTATTTTTCAACAAGACAACGCTTCAATCCATGTGTCGCGAGCTACCAAAGCGCACATTGAGCGAAGCGGTGTTTTATTGATGGTATGGCCTGCTAAGAGCCCTGATTTAAACCCAATTGAAAACGTTTGGGGCCAATTGGCGTGGAAAGTTTACGAAAATGGCCGTCAATTTTCAACTGTGGACGAACTGAAGGCTCAAATTCGTGTCTCCTGGGATCAAATCAGCCAAGCCTATTTGCGTAAGCTTGTTGATGGAATGCGAACTCGAATTGCCCAAGTAGTGTTGAGAAACGGTAATGCAATTGATAAATAACTGTTCTGGAAAAAGTGCGTCTATAGTTTGCATCACCCTGAAAAGTGGTTTTTTGTAATTTTCAAAAATAGTACTTCGAGTTTTATAGTTTTGTCACCTACAATCTATTTCGAAACTTAAATAAAGTATCATATCAAAACAGTGAGCATCAAATCGAAATAATTTTTGAATATCTTACGACTGGACTACCGGTAGTACAGTAGTACGTACCTTCGCTCCTAAAACACGCACCATATTCTCTCAATCGTGCACCGATTTTGGCGAATCCAGGTGCGTTTTGATTCCAATTCGTACTAGGTGCGTGTTGAGGCATTTTTCAAATCCCTGCAATCTTCCGCCGCGCCTTGGATGGAAGACCACTTGCATTCGTTCGTGTGTCCCATCACCCACGACGTGATGGAGGACCCTGTCGTGGCGTGCGACGGACACTCGTACGAGCGGGCGAGCATCTCCATGTGGTTCCGCGATAACAACACGAGTCCCATCACCAACGCGTCAGTGCACCACAAGCACCTGATCCCGAACCACACGTTGAAGAAAGCGATCAATGAGTTCCGCGAGAGATTTGCCCCCTTCTTCGACACCGAGTCATCCACCGCAGCCCTTCCATCTGGTCAGGTCCTTCCCATGCTGGAGGCGCTCCCCGAACGCGGAACGTTCCTCTACATCGTGGTACACCAACCCATGCCGGTATACGTCGCACCGAGCTTCATCACGGCGCAATCAACCATGCTTCTCGTCGACACCATCGTCCTGGGCAAAGAACGCCTGTATGGCGAAGACAATGTGATTTTCGTGGAATTGTCGGGCCATCACGAAGGCCAGTATGTCCACGAGTGTACCCGCGACGGCAGTCCATGTTTACAGCGCCTTGAAGTGACAGAAACCTCGTTGGCGTTCATGGTAACGTCCCCCGCGCCGTTGAGTCTGTGGCCGTCCCATGCCGTGCCCTCCAGCACCCTCTACAAAGCGTACCCGTACGACGTGGTGTCCATCGAAGCGACCATACGCGATCTCAACGGTCGCATGTACGGCCGCTTGGAGCAGTCTAAGCTGTGGGCATGTCTCGACCGCAGACACTTTACCGAGCTGGACATTGAGTTCACCCCCGAGCTGTACCTGCTAAAACAAGAGGTACACACAAGTACGACTTCTGTGATGACGTCATTTCTTGGCAACACTAGACCGAACTGCGCAGCAACGCCAACCGCACCAACCTCGGCGTTCCTCTCCTGGCACTCCCTGCCTATTCGATCGTCGAGAGCGACGCCATGTTTATGCTAAGGGCCGACGACTCGCCATCGTCGTCAACGTCTATCTATGTCCGCACGACGGCATCGCATGGCGGTGGTTTCGTCCGCGGGTGGGTTGCATTGCCCAGCTCGCTGTCGATGCACGCGCCGCCGCCGCGCCTCGCGGAAGGTCCCGCCGGGAAGCACATTCAATTGGTGCTGCAACAAGCAGGCGCAGTGGCACTTGTGCTGGATGAAGTCCAAGAGTCTGGCGACGTTAGCCAGCGCCTGATCACTCGGAACTTGCCTCGGCGGTTCGAGCGGCAGCTGCTGAATTGTGTGCAGAGGGGTAGGTGCCAATGTACACCTAATTTGGCTTTGTTTTCTTTCAAGTTGGACTACTTTTGGGCTGAATCTTTGCCAAATCTATATCGATCGATTCTTTGTCCTGATATTTGTATGTAAAGATCGTCCAGTATCACACGAATTTCAGTCATACACTGTTGAATTGGTCCAAGGGTGAATTTGATTGGGTACTTGGTTCGTGTTGTGGTTTTTGATTGGTCGATGTATCGATTGTCTGCTGATTTGGTGATTCTGCTCATTCGACCAATATTTCGAATCGACTTGACAATATATAAAAAATAACTTGCGTTGTTTATTATCCATCCATAGTGTATGAAAGCTCGGATTGGTTGAATAGTTTTGTGTACTAGCCAATCCGATCCCCTCAAAATTGAATATTAGCCAATAGCGTCGATTCGACGACCACCCTTGTAAGTTGATCCTGAAAAGTGATCTCTTGTACACTCTAGGACGGCGCATCCATCGGATGGCGCTGGGGCCGCGGGGGGAATGGTATTGCAGTGGCGCTAGGCCGGACGGAAGTGGCGAGTGCTGCTGGGCCAGCGGCGACCTCCCCGCCCGCTTCCATGCCGATATGCAGCCGAATTCGCTCGTTTCATTTGGCGGCGATAACGAATACGCGATGGTGCTGGGCACTGGCGGCGTCAGTTCGAGCAACGTCTCGACTAAGTTGCTGCAGAACTTGACCAAAGCTAGACGCGTACACATGATGCTCTTGGCGCGGTACGGCGGGTACGTGATAAAGGACAACGTCGGCATGGACTTAAGCTGCTTGGATCCGGCTTTTGAAGTTGCGTTGAAGACGCCGCCGCGCGGAGCTGGCCAGGTGTGCTCGGGTACGTCAAGGGCTTACTACTTGCGGCGGATGGGAGAGTGGATTGTTGGGAATGTGATGTATATATATATATATATATTTGGAAGGTGATATATATATATGTAGCTGCGTACAGTGAGGACGACTACGTGGTGGTATTTGAACATACATATGTCGCGACTGCCGGCATCTCGGCCAACATTGTGGACGCCCTCGAAAGGTTTTACACGAGACATCTCGCCCTTCGGAACAAGCGGCGCCTACTCATTGCCGACTACGAAAGACGGTGGCACGAAATACATGCAGACTACTAGCCTGGCAGTGATGCCGACATATAAATTTCTATTTTCTAACAATCGATTTGGACCAATTAGGCAAATAAATTTAAGACTGTCCTAGCCAATCACATTACATTACACGATTGAGTAATTTCAACCAATCATCGATCACCATAGCTTGGCCCAGCAGTTTAGCCCAACTAATACGTATATACTAACTACTATTAATAGTACTATTAATAATGTTGTTTATATTAATAGTACTATTATTTTTTAATAATATTACGTAGTACTATTATAGTACTGGTAAGTAGTACTTCGAAGTAAGTTAGTACTATTTCTACATTGTGAATAAGCTTAACATTTGAGACAAATACGACCAAACTTCAGCGAATACGTCGAATGTACAATAAGACTACAGTACTGGTACGTATTACGAAGTACTAGTAGCGTTATTATAATATATTAATAGTAGTACTGCAGTGATCCGTTAGTACTATTAATAGTAAGGCATACAAGTAGATCAGCAAACGAAACAATGTGTATTAATAGTGGAAATGAATAGAACGTTGCTTGGGTTTTGCGTATTTTCCCCTTGACATTGACGAAATCGCCGACCTTTCACGGCGTAAAACTGGAGCGTACGGGATGACGATCTACTCCAAGCACAGCGACGACTTGGAAGACCCACATCCCATCTACGAGCAAGACAAGTTCCTGAACGAGCACGGATACGCATGGGACTACGTGCTGGTGTTTCCCATCTCGTCGGCGCATCGGAAGCCGTCCATCGAGGACATCTGCCACCGGCTGCACGCGGCAGGGCTGTCGCTCAAACTGTTCTACTCGTCCGCTCCCAAGAGCAAGGCCTTGCGTCAGCTAGTGTTTTGTCTTGTGCGCGCGCCGCCGGACCTTCTCAAGAAGGAAGCTGACCGCATCTCTCTCAACATGCTCGTCGACGAAACCGCACTCAAGGAGGCGGCATTGCAGGGTTACCCGCTGCAAAACATCCAGCCGTTCCACATTGTCCAGGACACGCAAAATGTGCACGAGTTGCCGCCGTATGCGTCCATCCACGTCAAGTACTCGTGTCGCGAGGACATGCAGCGATTGTACCTGAAACGTGGCCCGCTAAACTCGTTGTTTTCAAGCACGCAGCGGATGCTCCTCACGAAGAGCATCATGACCAACACCCACGGCGGCGCCGGATTAGACCTGTACAAGATCCTGCACAACAAGACCCTCGCGGCGTTCTACCCAGCGCATGAGCCCACGGAGCGCTCCGAGCTCGCGGCGGCGTGGCTAAGCTGGCACTTTTGGCCATGGCAGCAGCCGCTCCCGTCCATCCAGTCGTACTTTGGGTCGAAAATCGCCTTGTACTTTGCCTTTTTGGCACACTATACGACGTGGCTCATGGGGGCGGGCGTCGTGGGACTTGGGCTGTGGATCCCGCAACTCGTGCTGCCCAACACGCCGCTGAGGGACCAAGTCGTGGTCTGCAGCTCGAGTGTGTTTATCGTGATCTGGGCTACGCTCTTGATGAAGTCGTGGGGGCGCTACAACGCATCCTTGGCGTTTCACTGGGGTACGTACTATCTACCTTGCATCATCCACCTGTAGAAGTGTTGGCTCGAAATGTTCTAAGTGTTTGACACTGAGAATTATGTAGGGACGACCAACTTTCAAGCGACGGAACAGCCACGGCCGCAGTTTGTAGGGCGGCTCGTGCCGAGTCCCATCACGGGGCGACCGATTCTGTCCTTTGACAAGCGCGAAAAGTTCAACCGCATGTGCTGGAGTTGGCTGCTCCTGCTTGGCCTCATTGGACTCGTGGCAGGACTCGTATCGATGAACTTTTACCTGCAAAACTACCTCATTGAAGCCAAGTACGCTGTTCGAGTGGGCTCGTGGGATGTTTTGATTGGTGGCCCCGTGGCGAATCTGGCCAACGTTGCCCAGATTGCGCTCATGTTTCAAATATATGATTCGGTCTGTGTCCAGCTCAACGAGATTGAAAACCACGCAACCGAGTCTGACCACGAAGGTACGACGTACACACATATATACACAAACAATCACAAGTTAGTGAATATATATATATATATATATATATATATACTTAGGCGCGTTCATCTTGAAGTCGATTCTGTTTCACGTGATCAACAACTTTGCCGCGTTGTTCTACGTGATGTTTGTCAAGCGGTACCTGGGCGTGCAATGCATGAACCACGACTGTCTCGGGGAGCTCCGCATTTCGCTCTTGTTCATTTTTGGGCTGCAGATGCTGTGGGGAAACCTGCAGCAGGTGTTGCTGCCGCGCCTGTGGAGCCTCTGGACGGCGTGCCGCGTCGGCCGTCCTCACTTTGACCACATCCACCCCCTCGAAGAAGAGTTTTACCTGGCCGACTATGGCTGGCTCGGCACATTCTACGACTACCTTGAGCTCGTGCTTCAGTTTGGCTTTACGATTCTCTTCATTGGCGCGTTCCCAGCGACCCCGCTGCTGTCTCTTGTTAACAACGTGTGCGAGATCCGCATCGACGCATACCGGCTCTTGAACGAGTACCGACGTCCTACGCCCCGCCAAGCGGCCACCGCCGGCCAATGGGTCACCGTCCTCGAAGTGCTCGTGACCCTCAGTATCTTCACCAACGGGTAGGTATATATCGACGACATACACACAACAAGTGTGAACGACTTCGAGACTGTTGCATTCAACAACAGGGTGTGTGTCTGCCAAAAATGATATCATTAGATACTGTATCGCAGCTGTCTCTATATAACTGCCAAAAATGATATCGTTGGATACTGTATCGCAGCTGTCTCAATTCCTCGTGTTGAACTAACTTTCGAGTCGCTGTGTGGATTGTTGGTTTCGATGTTATCGTCGTTGCCATCATATGTGGGGAGAGCGTACTTCTGTCTGTATGCTACTAGTCTGTAGTAGCAGAAGTGGGTTGACTGTAAAACCTGCTGCTACCGTTTGGGTTCCTGCATGGTTGACCCCCTAACGTGAAGATATTGTTGTTGTGCTTTGTATAGGTACTTTTTGGTGTACTCGTCCAACGTGTTTGCGTTTCAAGACAACACGATCGACGGGGACTTAGCCAAGCTGCGGCTGTTCGTGCTGTATGTGGCCACGCTGCTCTTGTTCCGGTATAGCGTGTCGCGGTACTGGGAGAACGTTCCCGAAGCCATTCAAGTCCAGCTCAAGCGCCAAGACTTTTTGTCGTCCAAAGTCCTCGGGAGAGAAGCCGACGAAGAAGCGCCCCAGTTTGTCCGGTCCGAGAGCTTTCAGTTTCGAATCGACTCGATCGAGAATCGACGCGCATCTGTCTAGGCGTACTACTAGTACTACTACTAGTATTCCTAGCATGAATTATTACTGTATATCATCAGGGTGGCTTGCCCTCAACTAATAGTTTGTGTAGCTCTTGTGGAGGGTGGTCACCAAGGTGGCTATTCTGCTTGTGGTAACCAACCCATACACCCAACACAGCTGCGATACAGTCCGAGATTGAATGTTTAAATAGTGGTGTTGGATGAAATTGTCGTTACACGTCGTCGCATATCCGGAGCCAGCACTTGGTGTCCTGGCATCGGTGGAATGCTTGCCCCGTGGCGTCGAGCACGACGGCTTCCGACACGACCACATCCCCCACGTCCATCCACGCCAGCACATGGGCGGTCGAGGCGGTGGGCCACAGAGCGAGCGGCGATCGCCGGCGGAGGCGGAACGTCATGCGCACTTCCATCGCTTCCACCAGCTCCAAGTCGGCTACGGCCACGTACGCGGTGTCCACCAACGACCCAATCGCGTCGCCGTCGACTTGGACAAACGCGGAGCCACGCGAGAAGCCGACGAGGAGCGCGTGGGGGGCCAGCGGACGCGCGAGTTCCGGGGGCATCGTGTCATGCACGTCCTCGGACCATAAGATGCCAGTCTGGCGCACGACTCTGTAGACGTTCGGCGGTTGGTCCAGGGATAGATGGAAGCTCGGAGTGGGATCGCCGTCATATGTGGGCGGTGGCGGCGGCAGCAGTTGGTTGCCACAGACATGTGGTGGAGACGGAGGTGAAAAGTCGGACGAGAAGGCGGGAAAGATCACGATGGACGAAGGACTGAGTGGATGAAGGGTGCGGAGGAATTCGGCGATCGCCTGCTTCAGCGCGTGGTTTGGCACCACTTGACGGAGACTCAACCGGCAGTTGGTCACGGGACTCTTGGAGTGTTTCGTGAACATGCCGAGAAACACCTTGCGATCTTTGATGTTGGCGCGGTCGTACGAGTACCCGTCGGAAGCAACCACGGGGTCCAGCATCGCCGTCTTGCCGATGGGACAACAGAACGAATTGAGTGAAGGAGATATGAGCGACGCGCGGGAGTCGTGCCGTGCGTACTCTTGAATCGCAAAGCGGAGGGAATGGTTCGGCACTAACCTGGACGACGGCAACGGTGCGTTCGTCGCGGGGCTCGTGACCTTCTGTGCAAACCACCTCTCGATGTCCTCCCGCTCATACGAGTGGCCATCGCATGCCACCACGGGGTCCTTCATCACCTCTTGGCTGATGGGGCACACAAACGACTCCAACGACCGCCGTGGCATGTGCCTGCTGGACGCAAGTTGAAAAGTGGGCAACCATGTGCAACCTTGAAATCCAAACAGAAAAAGTCGAGTGTTGGTCACCTGAATGACATATTTTTAGTATTTCCCACCATTCGAAAAGGAAAAACGTCAAATTGACCAAATATTTGAGAAATATTCATCGATTTCGTCGACGCGATATATTCATGGAAAAACATTTGGGATAAACCACCTTCAGATTTGTTCGAATCCAGGAATGTACGTCTCTCCTCGATTTACCATGGGCAACATCAAGGTCGACAACTGCCGTCCATTCACTCTCGCCCTGACTTGGATGTACGCGACCTTTAGAGCTATCTCAAGCAAACTCGTTGCTGCACATGTGAAATAAGCAAACTCGTTGGTGCACATGTGAAATATGTTAGGCTACGGAAGTGCCCCCTGAATGCGTTGGATGGATAGGATTGCCGATCGAAGCTAAGCTTATGTCGCCCGTGAAATGCATTCTCGACCCGATAGCATCCTAGAAGTTTCACAGCTCATGAGAGAGCAACTGCTGTCCACATTGCCGTCCTAATGGCATGGATCGCTCGTCGCATGGAGCTCTGGGATCACGCAATGTCGTCCAAGGATGCAGTGGGAGTGCTGTAACGTTAGCGCAATATAGTACTCCACTAACGTTATCAAGGAAGTACCAGGTAGTACAATCTACCGGTATGAATAGTACTTACTAACTTAGTACGTATTACTGGTATTAATAAGCTTACTGTATATACTAATAAAATAGTATAATACTAACGTTGCAATTAATTACTACAATTAATAGTATTGTGCTTTCCGGTTGAACTTGATATTGTAAAAATCGCCAACAAATAGCCGCGATGATATGATTATTCTTCGAAATTCTAACTATCTTAAAAAATAGTTAGAATTTCGAAGATATGGGCAGAAAATGGACATCCAACTCAGTTATTCAGGGGCAGCGCGACGAGGTGTAAACTTTAACGCGGGTATCCAGTTGGTGCACTTGAGATGTCTGTGTGCAATTGGTGTGTGCGTGTGTGCTGGGGATATGGAGAGGCATTTCGCATTGTATTACAACGAAGCCTACGAGCTCAGGTGGTAAGATTAATGCTACAACATTGGATCGTCGTCCATTGACTCGCAGCTCAGGAAACTGCATCATAATAGGGTGATTATTAACGAATGTTTGGAAAGGGAATTCCCACTTCCTGGCATTGGGGTCATATCACGGGGCGATTTAAGAATCGCCAGTGGAAATTTGGAGTGGAACACACATATTAATACTAGGTAGTAACGTTAATACTACTAACGTTACTTCGGAAGTATTATACTTCGAACTAATTACTACTCGGAGTATTAATACTCCGGAGTAGTTCGTTGTATTTAAGTTTACAAGTTATTGAATGTTCAAAGGTATTCTCCGATCGTTGTTCAAGCAAAAAGATCGCCAAGAAGATGGAAGAGATGTCGGCACCACCGCCGCAGTCCACGACAACTACCCTCACCGCATTCACTTGCCCTATCGGTGGTAAGCGCATGGACGATCCAGTCGTGGCGACCGATGGGTTCTCATACGACCGTCGCTACATGGAGGCGTGGCTTGAAGTGCAAAGCACGAGTCCTATCACATTACTACCCTTGCAATCAACAACGCTATTGCCGAACCATGCGCTCAAATCTGCGATCTTGGAAGTTGACGACCATGGCGTGACGGTCGATCTCGTGTCGTTCATGGGACCCATTACCCAGGACATTCTCGTGGAGCCGGTCGTGGCCTGCGACGGGCACACGTACGACCGCACAAGCATCCAGCACTGGTTTCGCACACGCCACACGAGCCCCGTGACCAACGCCGTCTTGGACAACACGGCGTTGCTTCCCAACCATACGCTCAAGAAAGCGATTGACGAAGTGTGGCCCAAGGCGGCGTCCTCGCGCTCACTCGTGTCGCCCGTCTCGATAGTTTCCCACGACACCATCACGTGCGACGGCTGCGGCATGCATCCGATCGTCGGACCTCGTTACAAGTCCCACACCGCCAAGAACTTCGACGTGTGCGGCGCCTGCGAAGCGTCGGGCTTGTATGTCGCGCAGGAACCATTCTTCAAGGTCCTCGACTCGCGGCTCCTCGGCCGACCATCGACCCCCGTCGTTCCCGCAGCGTGGCCTGTTATCAATTCCTTGGCATTACCCAGCCAGCAGCCCATGCCAGAGCCCCGGGCTTCTTCCAACGCTCCTTCGTACACGATCTGCCACACGTCCGTTACTTGCGACGGCTGCTTTCAGTTTCCCATCCGCGGCACGCGGTTCAAATCTAGCGTCGCGTTCGACTTTGACTTGTGCAGCGCATGCGAACTCTCGGGTCGATATGCGTTTTGCGAACCGTTCCTCAAAGTGCCCGACTCGCGCAAGCTTGGCCGGCCCGCCACCGTCGAGCTCCACCACGTCGTGCACTCGGGTGACGTACTGTATCGCATGCGCACGCCAGTCGCAGTCTGCTGGACGCCCAACACCCACGATGTGGTGCTCCGGATGGCGGGGGTGGATCCGGTGCTGCCGGCCAACGCGCTCGTCCTCGGCAGTCGACTCGTCCGGGGCGAGGACGATGTCGCATATGTTGAGGTGTCTGGGCGGTTGCTGGGGCTGCCTGCGCTGCAAGTGTTTGTGCCCCAAGAAGTCCACGTTGGAAGGGACCGTGACGTGGCAGTCGCACAGCAGCGCACGATGGACCAAGTCAAAATGACGCTGCAACGACGAGTATTTGTCACGTCGAGAGCGCTGCCCAGGCGAAAGTGGCCGTCCACTCGCGACAGCGCCGTCATGCCCGCCCTCGCGGTACGCCCGCATGTCGAAGTCGCCACCGATGCGATGGTCCTGGACGAGCACCACCAACCGTTTTACCGCATTGCCAACACGAACGAGTGGCTGTGCATCGTCGACGACCGAGACGCGTTGTTTCTAGTCAGTTAACAAAGACGTTGAATGGATATGATGATTACTGTCTCTGTATATGGCGGACGATGGACATTTCACGCATGGGACATTAAGTGGCACACGTGTGAAATGTCTATTGTATCACATGTCAAATGTCAACACCAACCGTTTGACCGCATCGCCAACATGAATGAGTGACTGTGCATCGCAGCATCTCGACGACCGAGGTGCGTTGTGTCTAGTCAGTTAACAAGGGCGTTGGTTGGATATGATGATTACTGTCTGTATATGGCGGACGATGGACATTTCATGTATGTTACATTAAGTGGCACAAGTGTGAAATGTCTATTGTAACACATGTCAAATGTCGATTATTTCTTGGAGGAATCAACAAGCGGGTTATTTCTTTGATCTGGAGCGAGTATGGTGCTTCTAGAAGACAGTTGAGAGAGCACAGTTGATCAAAACACGAGTTTTCGTGGCTTTGTATATCCAACTATTTGGGGAGAAGTACACTCCACAACGATCCTGAACGGATACTCTCGTGAGATTTGATTGGAAGAAATGCTGTCCCTATAACATGTGTTTGAAGTTTCTACTGGCTCAAGGTTAGTATTATTAATAATATTAAATACTACTAGTATTCCTAGTAATACTATGTATTTTAATACATAGTATAGAATACTAACTATTAAAATAGTTAGTACTCTGGAGTAGGTAGTAAAAAGTCATGGATGTCAACGATCTTGATTGGTCCAAAAATTAGCTTGATTCGAAAACGGGCACCCCGACCGCAAACCCACCATGCCACCGGCCAACAGCGGCGGCGACGACATCGGGCTGGCGACGAATTTCTCGGCGTTGGACACCGTCATATGCGCCACGTACCTCGTGTCAGTGCTGGTCGTGGGGGGCGTTGCAACGTACGTGTGTCGGAAGAAGAAATCGTTGGACGACTACTACCTCGGCGGCCGGACGTTGCCTTGGTGGATGCTTGCGATTGCGGACGTGTCCAGTTACATTGACATTGCAGGCACGATGATCAACACAGGGCTCATCTACGCTCTCGGTGTGCGCGGCATGTTTATCGAAGTGCGCGGCGGGCTGTGTCTTTTTCTTGCGTTCCAGCTTGCGTTCACCGGCAAGCTAGCTCGTCGGTGTCCCGTCCGCACCAAAGGCGAATGGTACACATCATCATCATCTCAACACCCCCTCCTTTCATGTCCCATGCAATAGGATCAAGTTTCGATTTGGAGCCAAACTCGGCGGTCGCGTCGCCCGGACCGCCATCGCGATCGTGTCCCTTGTCGGCGGCATCTTTGGGGTCGCTTACTTCAGCATCGGCGGCGGCAAGTTCGTGACCGAGTTCATCGCCGTGCCAGCCTACGGAGGCCTCCCGTCCGACTTTTGGGCGTCGGGGGGGCTCATGGCCATCGCGCTCGGCTACACGATCGTCGCCGGCTTCACGTCCATGGTGCTCACAGACGTGTACCAGTCCTTGTTCATCTACGCGTCATTCACGGTCGTAGCTGTATGGGGCATGCAGGTGACCCTGCCCAGCACCTTTCACGTGTTTATTCCCACCTTTAACGCATCCTCGTTCCTCAACATCTCCACGACCCATGACGCCTGGGCCGCCGCGTCCTTGTCGTCGCCCAACATCCCCGCCGACAGTCCGTACGCCATGTACAATTCCTTCGGCGGCATTGTGTTGCTCTATCTGACGCTGCAGTGCCTCCGGTCGGCGTCGGGACCTGGCGGTATGTTGTCCTTGCACTTGTTTCAAGCTTTTACCACTACTGTATACTGTCGTTGCATAAAAACAACATATTCAGACAGGCATTATCTGCATAATATATATATATATATATACGTTTTTATGGATATTATTACAAAATTTTATGCCACAATTTTCTTGAGAATCGGGTGTTTTATGGCATAAAATATATGGATCGATTTGGTCCAACTTTATTGTGGAGGTTTGTGTTCAAGTCTTGCACTTCAATCGGAAATCGAATAATTTTTCCAAAATTCAACTGGTATCCAGGCAACTTTTTCGATACTTCGTTGCTCCTTTTTTTCACGGGATATGAGACTTTGGGAAATATTTGCAGACTTGCCAAAACGGGTTATGGCATAATTCTATGAGGTAGTGCATCGATTTTCAGCACCATTTTTGGTCCGATTTGCGTCCATTTTTTCCAGAGCCATTGCTCCGCCACTAATTCCAATTAACAGATTCTGCGTGTATGGTGTGAAAATATGATTCACGGAGCATATTTTAATGATGAGAGATGCTCGTTTTACCGACTATTGTCATTTGTATGCAATTGATATATAGAAGAACAAATTGAAACGAGTTTTGAGCCGAATGTATTTTCCGAACCATTGCAAATACCTTGCATTTAGTAAGGAATCTGGCATCCAGACCAGCCCTAAGTGGTCACCAAATCGGATGGCATTTTCGTTCTATTCTTGTGCACCATGTACAGTACAGTAGTACTTCAATTGAAACGATTTATATATTGAACTCTTCCTATTGTATTACTAGTATACTATTATACATACAATATATATATATATATATGGATTTGAGATTTTCTAAACCAATCATACATATTCCCGTTTATATTGAACTCTTCCTATTTATTATACAGACAACGAGGGAATTTAAGGCTCATCGAAGTTTTGAGTGTCACACACTTTTTTCAGCCAATCAGCAGCAAATCACGAAATACTTAAATTTCTATTGGTGAATTTTTATAATATGTTTCGAATTTCGAACTACGCTATCCAGTCATATCGTGAAATTTGCGCTACACACAGAACTTCGATGAGCCTTAAATTCCCTCGTTGTCTGTACATACTGTAGTATGTATAACCCCAGCCAGGAATGGAATTGAGATTTTCTAAACCAATAATATATATATTCCCGTTTCATACCATTGTACATGTACACGGTACAGATGAACCATCATGAACTACGGTAGGCGGGGGACTGCAAACCGTGCTCGCGACCAAGACCGAGCACGACGTGCGCAAGCAGAGTGTGCTGGCCATGCTGCTGCTGCTGCTTCGCTGGGCGTTCGGCGCCGCCATCGCCGCGCTCGCCATCGACTTTACGCAACACCACCCGAATGTGACTGTGGACCCAGAACGAGTCGTGCCGTTCGTGCTGTCCAACGTCGTACCTTCGGGTAGGTTGATGGTTTTGTCTTATTTATCGTTCTTGTGTACCTATTCTACGTTTTTTTGCTTATATACGAGAGTAGGCTACCGGGGGTGCATCGTGGCGTCGCTGCTGGCCGCCGCACTCACCACGTTCGACTCGACGATCAACAGCGCATCCTCATATTGGACTATTGACATTTACCAAGCCATGATCTGCCCCAAGGCGACGCCGGCCCAGCTGGTCCTTCAAGCGAGGGTATCCACGGTCGTGATTGTATTGCTCGGGTGGGGCTTGTCCCTCGGTATAGGAACCATCAATCGCATTTGGGGGTACATATGTACACCTACGAAATATAATAGTGCAATACCAGTGTGATGTGAAAATTCCATAGGTTCATGACGATTGCCATGGGTGGGGGAGTCGTGTACCCATACTTTTTGTCGTGGTACTGGGCCCGCTTCAACGGCGTCGGGTGCGCCGCGGGGCTGTGCACGGGCGTCGTATCGGCGTCGGCCATCTTTTTGTACGAGTTCACATGGATTGGTTTCGAGTATTTCCAGTGGTCGTGTACCTATATATATCTCGTAGTGCCTGTCCCCACCTCGGCGAGTCCCATGTGTTCCTGTGGGCGTCCTCCGCGTCCGGCGTCGTGTCCGTCGCAGTCGCTTGGCTCACACCTCCCACTGCCCCCAAGACCCTCAACACGTTTTACAAGCATGTGCGGCCGCCGGGCTTATGGGCCGAGGTAGGCGTCGACAAGCTATTCTATGCTGTCGTGTACCTATTCGCATCTATTAGGCTCTTGGAATGAACTTGGATACAGGACAAAGGAGATTGATGTATTGACAGTATATCGAGAGAGTTCGGTACTTGGATACCATTGGATACAGGAAAACTACGATTGATGTGAGTTGAACATTGGATACAGGACAAATGAGATTGGTGTGGTGTTGTACATATATATAGATGTTTGAGAGGGAGGATTGGATACAGGATTACGATGAATATTAGTTTATTGGGTGTGTTGTAGGTGTCGCACACGTGCTTTCAAGCGGCGGAATTGACTGCGATCGCGGCCGAGAACGCCAAGGACCTGGGGTGCTCTGGGCTGCTCCTGATCGTACAAGTTGCCACGTATGTCCTAGCCGTGAGTGTCGTGCTCAAAGTGTGGCCGCAGTCGGGCGTGCTGGCGGCGGTGCTGGCTGTGCTGCTCCCTGCCATTTACTACAAGTGGTACCTCCCTCTGGACACGCATCTAGTCTCGCACGAGCCATTGCTGCTAGACCAAGACAAGGATGCATGGGAGTAGTAGTGGTTCGATGAGAGATGTGTGGGTACAGTGCCAAGGTGAATGAAGAGCATCCGTGTGTGTACACACTCGGGTTTGGGCATGACGTAGGTCGAGCTAAGCAGAGAGCTTCATCGTTCGAGTCACAGACAAGTTGGGATTCGAGCTGCATGTTCCTGTGTTACTGTTTGCACACGAAGATGTTGGATAGTGATCGATCTACTTGACGTTGCGCGGGTCCTCGCCAGGGGCTGGGATGCGCTTGATGACTAAGTCGGTCGTGTTGAGCTTCTGCATGATTTTCTACGCCAGCGTCCACACTCATGCGCGTACATGTTGTAGTGGCGACGGACGTACCCGATGTTCCTCGTCCAAGTTGAACGCCCGTTCGCTTTGGCTCTTCACCATCACGTCCTTCTTCTCCATCTTCCCGTCGAGGAATTGGTTTAGCACAGTGAAACCTCCGACCACGAACAGCACAAACGGCATCCCCACATTGACGAACAAGTTGCTCTTCTTCCGCGCCATCGCCGCCCTTGCTGCCATCTCGTTCCTTGTTGTGGAGTCTTTGTGTTTACACTCAATTAAAAGCCAATCACAGGCTTGTATTTTTCAAATACATGCAATGATTCGCTAAATTTCAGCCAATACGAGCACATAATCACAAGACAAGCACTATGATTCGCTTTATTTTGACCAATGGTAAACTCCCATTGGCCCATCCTTGGCGCGCCATCAACGCCCTTCATTCTCCTTCATTCAGCGGCGGCGACATGCGATTGAACTTCGGCCAGTACATCTTCCTCTTTGGCGTGAGCATCGGGTCCTTGTTCGCTGGATCCATCGCGATGCATGCAGTCCTCAAGCCTGATCTGGTACTGCATCGCTCGTCGTCCTCCATCGACCTGTCCCCTGACTCTCCATCGTTGATAGACCATTCCGGACCTTGCCGCGGACGACCTGGACGACAACGACCGCAAGAAGTAGACAACAACAACGACGACGATATATGCTTCAGTGTTTATTTACATGATAATGGATGGCTTGAATTCCTACGACGTCGTCGGTCATCGATAGTACGTGTCTTGGTAGTCTTGAACAGGGGGCGGCTCGTGCAAGGTCTGCCGCCGCCACGTCCATGCGTCTTCCTGTGCTTGATGTCGCCTACATCGCATCCTACTCGTGCATAGATCGCAGTCCGGCGTGAAGAAGCGCACGACGGGGTTCGTGAGGAAGAATCCATCGTCGTTCCATGCTGCTGGCGCCTCATAGCCTCTGTACTCGCAATGCTTTGAAAAGTTCCATCCAAACAGTTCCGACGTCACGTGGTACAGGTGCGCCAATTGCGCGTCCAGTTCCACATCTACATGTCGCGTCAATCATCCTTCCGAACATGACACTCCTAGACCCACCTCTGGACACATCGATCACCGCATGCTCGTCAGAGTCCGAGTCGTCGTCGTCCGCTCCCCGCCGCCAGCCATGGTACTCGCGACTTCTTTCTGCATCTTCGTCATTCTCCACATGCACCACGAACGACTCGAACTTTCGTTTCAGGGGCAGCAGGGGCTTGAATTCTGCCGCCGCGGGGTTCAACATGCGAATGGGAAGACGCGCGGTCGTGGCTTTGATCCGGGGAGAAGCATCGGAAGGAGGAGACAGCGGCGGCATTATCGGCAATGGATGCTTCGCAGATGCGGGCGGCGACTGCGGCGGCGACGGGCATGTCGTGGTGGACTGGAGGTCTGAAGGGGGCTCGTTGAGCGGTGCCGATGTCGTTGAACATGCGAGTTTCCGTCGCTTCTTCTTTTTCTTGGTCGTGGACGAGGCAACGTGCTTGGTTTCTTCGTCCACTTCCTGTAGCAAGGCTTCCATTTGTCGCAAGGATTCCCTCTCCAGATATGCCACAAAGCTCTTGACAATCAGCTACATTCATAGAGCTATCGTCAGGGCGGCGGGCGATACTACATGAGGACGACCTAAATGTACTGTACCTGCTCGAGCAACATGGCGATGAGATGCTGGTACTCGTCCCAGGAACTCACGCCTTCGCTGTCGTGGAAGAACAGTTGCGTAAAGTCCTTATCACTCAGCACGTGCGGTTGGGCGAGGAAACCATGCAGGCTTCCTTGGATGAGCTCAAACAAGGCGGGCGCGTGACCGTCTTGCACCAGTTCATTCTTCACGGTCATGATACCCGTGCCAATGTCCATAAACTCCATCGCTTCCAACAGTTCGTATGTCGGCTCGTCCGAAGACGACGATGCTTTTTTGAGCCGTCGTTGCATGAGCCCGACGCAGAGGAGGGAAAAGTTGAGCTTGTAGAGCTGCTTCACAAGGTCAGCTTCGTCCAGGAACAACACGCTTTGCCGCTCGGTCACCGTCAGACCGTTCCAATACGCATTCACGCGATCTGGCATGGCCATTTGCCGCCCCAGCTTCATGTACTTCTGCCACACTGCGCCGCCCATCGATCTAATAGGCGCTGCTCACAGTTTGATTGTTGGTCAAAACCTATCATTATGCAAGGCATCCCTGTTAAGTGCGATATTGAACCTTGCATACATTGGACGTTTGTATGCAACCGAGCGATTCAACACCCGCCAAAACTCTGATTTTTTTACACGTCAGATATGGGTTGAAGTATAAAACCGGTTTTTATTTGGCGTAGTCTTGCAGCCTAGATTTCTTGCACTCCTGTACCTACACCAGTGAACTAATCTTCGTTGGGGTTGGCTACGGTGCAGGAGTACGACAAATACGGTATATGTAGTAATGGGTTTAACCCTGACAGAAGAAATCAAATTGGGTTTTAATGCGTTTAAGTGCGTCGAACTTCATAGATTTTCGAACCCTGCCAAAGCTTCCACATTCTTCGAGAATTGAAAAACTCATCGCGATGATCGCCATCGTGCGCACCGCATCATGCAAGGGACACCCTTCCGAGCCGATGAAGGTACATCTTGTTGCGCCGTTGAATGAGATGACGATGGAAGCCTTGCATTGAAGTCTCTGTCTTAATGGATGAGGTGTGCCGTACGCGAGTGTGGTGGCCGCCTTGATTAGCCAGAGTAATGGTCGCCAGGAGTGTCCACGACAGGGGTATGCGGTCGACTCCACAGCGGCAACGCCTGCGCAAACCACCGCAACTTCTTCTCGACTTCGCCTTGGAAGGCTTGGAACCGACGAAACTTGGCTTCGAGCTGCCGCAGCGTTACGGGATTGCGTTCAAGGCGGAGCAACCCGGCCAGTTTGGACACGCACAGCGTCGCCATGGCCAGCTTCACCTCGTTTTCACTGCGCCGCACTACGCATGATCGTCGTTAACCATCATGCATGTTGCCTGGGACGTACTCAAGGTGCAGTACATGCACTGGCGAAACTTGCACGGGTAGTGCGAGAGATGGCGGGCAATCGCTTCGCCTTCGGGCGTGGAGGTCACCTTCGAAGGATCGAGTTTGTGCATCGTCGTATACGTTTGAATCGCCTGCACCCAAGTGGCGCATTCGCGTCGGCAGTACTTTTTGTACTTGCACTCCATGGCTTGGACAATGTGCAGGCCTTCTTGCACCCATTTGCGCCACTTTTCCGTGTCCGTGCCGGCAAACATGAGGTCGCTAATGGGGTCTCGCATCCGCTTCCACTTTGGGATCTATGTACATCACGCGTTCATGACGACGTACAATGGGAAAGGAAGGAGGTACCGTCACGCGATGGAAATGATTCTGGATCGGGGGCAACGTGGTCGTTGGCAAACGTAGACGTCGGATGGTGTCGACCGTGTCCTTGAGTTCCAACTCGCACGTCTGCTTGCGGATCTTGAGGGATTGCCGCGCATACGCTTGGAACTGCGTCACGGCCACCGGCGACGATGGAGCAGTCGCGGGAAGGACCGACAGCGCTTGGCAGAGCGCGACGTATTTGTATTGAAGACGTCGTTGCAGCACTGAAGAACATTCGAATTTGTCCCGTCAACAATAATAAAAGAAGCCCACAGTTACAGAGAAAATCATATAGAAAACCCACCAAAGGAGTTTAGAAAACCAAACATGTTCGAATGGTACCTACCTAGCACGCACACAGCGCAGGTGGCTGCGGTAGGACATGTCTCGCAGTGCTGGGTTAGCATGCCGAACGCTCGGCACATCGCAGACTGATCTGGACACGTGACATGGACCTGATGCTGGCTGGCCGCGACACACGCGCTGTCGCGGCATTGCGTAAAGTGCACGCAGTTGACAGCATCTTGGATCGTGCACATGGCGAGGAGTTGGTCGACTAATGCCGGATCGAGGGGTTCCAGCTGACTCCATTCCTATCGTGGTGTCATGAAGAAACGTCCATCTTTCTTGTCGTGGGGGCTTACTTCGTCGACGTCGGCGGTGGCGGCGTCTTCTGGAGAGTCGTCGTCGTCATCATCGTTGATGACAATGATTTCGGGCCCGTTGTCGTCCCCGGGAAAGTTGCCCGAGGTGGTGCTACTCGCGCTATCGTTTTCCTTCATGTCACCGTTCCTGCAGTTTTGGGATACTGATACGTCGGTAGAGTGCGACGTGGCGGCGACGTCTAGTCCCAACGAATTGGTCTCGGATGAGTCGACCGCGAAAGGTTGATCGGCGGTGGGAACGACATCGGTAGAGGTCGATTCTTGTGTGCCTTGCGGCGTGTCCAGGGTTTGTTGAAGCAATAGCATCTTCTCCTGGATTTGAACCTCCAATGCATCCTCGACGGACGTGGCGGCGATTTTGGTTGTAGGCGCCTCCCTTCGAACGTGGAGTCGCGATGCACCAACTGCATGCCATGCTTCTGAGCATGACTGGCAATGACGTACGGCGGCCAGAACGCCATGTGGCCTTGCACAGGAATCACATTCAAACTTCCACGTCGCTTTCTGGCACCATGTGCACTTGGACGAGCCCATGAAGGTGGCGAATTGAGTAGTATTACTATGAAAAGAATAGTACTCCTAATCGTTCAAAGTATGGAATTTATCCGGATGATCGCGCTCGACATAAAACACAGCCAATGAAATTGTTGTATTTAGTGAACTCTGTCCAATCATCATGTTTTTCGTCTCTGCAGGAGGAGGTACGGTCCGTACTTTAAAGTTACAGTAATTCTACTGCTATTAATAGTATAATTCTACCCGTAGCCGCCTTTATACCGCTACGTATTGAAGGATTGAAGGGATTATCGACTCAAATAGGAATGGAATGCAACTTTGAGGTTAACATTATCCTTACAGTAGCTCCAATGATAAATATTAACGTTAACTATCGTAACGTTATCGCCAGTTGTGTCGCGAGTATTTCACCCCTCCACAACTTGCGACACTCATATTTCCAAAAACAGGTTAATCCCACCAGATATCCGGATAATGCCGCGGAAAGAGCTTGACCACCAGGTTTTACTCGCTTGCCCGAGGTTCGGCAAGGTGATTTATCCGGATACCCTTCTCCGTGTGCCAACGTTGCTCACATTTCTGCTTCTTTCCACGGCAGAGCTGATGATGGGTGGCTTTGTTCACAGTGCCGCGGTGATGGTTGCGGCGGCGACGCTATACCTGAATGGAGAAGTGATGGCACAGCTGACGGACCTGCCTCTGTGCCGAGGCAACCCCGTGTACTCGTACACCTCGGCGCAAAATGTGTTTCCCGAATTGAAGAACGCGATTCAAAAGGTCAGCCAGAACCAAGTGGTCACGTGGTGGACAGACAACAACCCGGACTACTACAAGGAAATGCAGAAGCTCCTGAACAACTGCAACTCGTCCACGGTTCCCACCATTGCCGTGTACGGTCTCCCCAACAAGGATTGCAAAGCCGGCTTCAGTAACAAAGGCGCGAACAAGGACGCGGACATGTACGTGGCGTTCATCAAGGAACTGGCGTCGTTGGTAGGTACCCGTCCCGTGAACTACATCATGGAGCCGGATGGGGTCGGCCTGGCCCTCGACGCCCCCTGCGGGAAAACCGCGGGGTACCTGGACAACATGATGACAGCAATTCCCATGTTGACCGACGACAACTTGAACGCAAGCTTGTACATTGACGTCGGGTACTGGTCGTTGAAAACGGACGAATTGACGTCCGAAGTTGTGCAAGCCGTCAAGCAGCTGGCGTCCAAGGGCGGCAACGTGCGCGGGATCGCCTTGGGCACGTCCAACTACCGCAAGACGTCCGAGATGAGCGACATGTGCGCCAAGTTCGTCAAAGCTTCCAACAAGGAATACAAGTGTGTGATCGACACGTCGCGCAACTACTTGGGCCCGAAGGATGGCACGGGTGAATGGTGCAACAGCCGGTACGCGGCGATCGGGGTGCCGCCGACGTCCAAGACCGGGAACGACTTGATTGATTACTTTTTATGGATCAAAGCGCCCGGTGAGAGCGACGGTCCGTGCAACACGCCCGACATCACGGCCGACGCGCTCAAGAACGGCCCCGCCGCCGGCATGTTCTTTGAGAAAGCGTTTAGTCTGATGTGGGACCGCGGCTACTTTGTCGACAAGAAGCTCGGCGACAAGCTGGGCCGGTACACGCTGGACGTGGACCAGATCCAGGAGGGCGGCGGCGTCAGCTACGTGGCCCTCGCCATCGTCGGAGCCATCTGCTTGGTGCTCGTGATCGGCATCGTGTTCATGAAGCGCCGCCATGACGCCAAGCAAGGCCGCGCCCGCACCAACCACCGCCAAGTAGACGCCGAAGCGGCGGTGCGCAAACCGTATTTGTCCCTTTAACACTAATATGCACTACTATAAAACTCATCCTTTCGTTCTGTGAATATTAACGGTATACAGTTAGTACTAATGCACAAAAACAACTATAAAACTCATCCTTTCAAAAACAATAAAATTCATCCTTTCGTTCTGTGAATATTAACGGTATACAGTTATTAATAATAGTACTGATGCACAACAACTATAAAACTCATCCTTTCAAAAACTATAAAACTCATCCTTTCGTTCTGTGAATATTAACGGAATATTCTCTACCTGCGAGTCTCAATGTTGTATTATATCAACATTTTATGAAGTATTTTGAATTGAAGTGCTTTTATGATATATATTGGCATGTACAGTATGTACAGCATATTATGTGCGCATGGGAGGAAAGTCCAAGCGCAGGTGGTCGAATTCTCGGGAGCGACGCATGAAACTGTGAGCTCATGTACTCCACATGTGTAGCAAGGTAGTGCATGCAAGCATTCTTACCTACGTGGAGTATAGAGGACGAAAACGACGACGGTGAAGGACCAATTCGCACATGCACATGAGATGCCGCTATCTATAGATAGGTGCTACGGTGCAGGTTGTGATGTGCACATATGCCGTGTAATACTCTACAAGTTGGTATGCGTCCCATCCCTCGTCGTCGTCATTCTTAGCCTAACGTTATGTATATATTCACCCACCGAAGTTCTGCATTTTGCTCATGCGCGCATGCATCTACACCATTTCCCATTCAATTTGAAATGAATTTCCAGTCAATAATGTCAAGTGCAGAAATATTATAAGATTTCACAAGTGCAGTTTCACATCTCAACATGAAAAATGTTCCTTTATCCAAATCATACACCAGAATATATATGAAACAAAGTATGTTTCAAGTTGAATGTTAGAGAATTCATGTTGGTTTGAAAATTGACGTGTTTCGAACGTGTTCATTTCACATTGACTGGAAATGCTGTAGTGTCGAATTTTTCTCGCGGGGGTGAAACGTATTTTTTCTGATTTTTTCCGATATAGAACGGGTAGCGAACGGATAGTAAAATTCAATAAATATATAGGTAAATGTAAGGCTCAGGAATTAAATTTCGCATCCTATCAGACAGGTGGTGAGGCAAATACCCGGTTTAACCCTACAAGTAGCGCAGAATCAGCAGTTTGTCAAATGAGCAATTTGGGGAAGGGTCGAAAGGAGTTAGCAATTCTGTGATCATCACGGCAATGTCCGTTTACATGTTAACGTTAACGTTAGTGGATCGCAATGTCAAATGTATGGTCTATTCCTGCATCTCCCTGTTTGCAGAAGTTCTCTACTATTAAGAGTATCTATTACTAGTAATAGGTACTGTACTATTAATAGTATTAGATAAGTAGTACTGTACATGTAGTACTATGAAGCTGTAGTATTATGAATAGTTGGAGTAAGTACTAGTACAGAGGTAGTAGTACTACAGTAGGAATGTGACGAGGTTTGACACACTGATGTTTGCTCCAAGCATCCTAGATCAATAGTAAATCCCAAGTAGAAAGTAAATCCCAAGATTATCCACCTCCTTTGATGTGTTTATTGAGTGTGGTCGATTCTCGATCCATGAACAAACCATACTAACGTTATACATATAGCACGCTCCAAGTCAATGACAGTCTCTCGCAGTGTTGAGGTGCATTGTGAATTTGTCGTGCCTGGGAATCCAGGGGAAGTTCGATGTTGAGCATGAATTAATGCCCCATATCAGAGTTTTGATTGGTTGATTACTCTGATACTCCAGTTTATCCATGGTAGATCCCAAAAACAGGTATTACCAGCATGAATGTCATAACAAAACTCACGGCGGCACCGACAACACCATGGACGCAAACCATTATGGAGCGTACCAGCTCTACGTTGTGTCTGGGCTGACGCTCCTCGTGTCCTACGTCAGCATCCTATGTCGTTCGCAGTTGCAAGAGGCCACGATCCGAGCGGTGCGCCAAGCCTTGCTTCCCAATGCGTAACGTCGACGGCTGCATCCCACTTCACCGCCAAACTCTTGGTGTTGATGCGTGCTGGTGAATGTGCACTAGGTCCGCTGGACATTTGGATGGATTGACGAGGGGGGACTTGGAAGATGTGTACGTTCTACTCGTTCATATTCTTGCGACACCTGTTGATTACCTCAACTCACGCTGACCATTGTTAGCGGTCTCGAAGCTACGAAATGGAAATGTGGCGTCTGTGCGTTCTATAACCCCGACGAGACGGACGCGTGTGTGTTGTGCGACACCAGTCGAGGTACAGTAAATTTAGGTGGTAGCTTTTCCCCCATATGTATGAAAATCGATTTTTTCTAATGAAAAATATTATCAAAAGTAGAATTTTGAAATGTCGGCAGTAACCTGGAACAGAGGAAGTATCAAAAATCAAATTTTTCTAATATGTATGCGAAATTAGCCATGTTTCTCTTGGCCGCGCCAGAATTTGGCGATTGCGAAAACACGATTCCCATTGAAAACCTCAACCTAAAACAACGCGCCGCATGGTACCCCCCCCCACATCTATCTATATATATATCTATATATATATCTATATATCCTAGTATTTGTGATTGCACTGTATCAAATCTATACTTTTATATATCTTCAATCGTCCGATGATCCACCACTATGTATAGGCAACGCAAACAATGGACTCGGGACATTGACGCAGTGGGCGAGGCGTACTGGAACAACGCCCCTGGCATCCCACCAACTCCGTCCGCCATCATCTACCTCGTACATTCCACGCGTTCGTCATATGCCTCGACGGCGGCGCTGGCTCTGTCCCCGCTGACCGCCGCGAGCGCGTCCAAGACGCTTCTGGGCGACCCCATCGCATCCTGGTGGCTTCCAAACCTCAAGACGCTGCGGTCGTACAACTTTTCCATCAAGTACGCGTGGTTGTTGGAGCAGCTGTCGCTCGTGTACACGGGCCACACCAAGATCGAAGTCCGGCGCGCCACCTTGATGCCCATGTCGTTGAAACTGCTGGGCGAGATCAAGCCCGATAACTTGTGCACGAAAACCAAGGTCACGCTGCTGGGGGAAAGCGCTGTGGACGCGGGCGGCGTCAGTCGCGAATGGTATACCCTTGTGACCATGGCCATCTTTGAAACCAAGGAAGGGCTGTTTATGGTTGCCAACAAGGACGACCAGTCGTTCTTTATCAATCCCAACTCGGAAAGAGACCACGGCCCCAACCACTTGGCAGACTTTCAAGCGGTGGGACGGCTCCTCGGTCGAGCCATCATTGACGGCCAAGTGCTGCCATTTCACTTTTGTGTCCCGCTGTTCAAGATGTTGCTGGGGTACCCCGTCTCGATCGAAGACGTTCGGTACTTGGACCTGACCGTGTATTCGAACTTGACCTACATTCGCGACTGCGATGACGTGGACGATCTGGCGCTGACATTCAGTGTGAGTGTGGACACGGATGTACCGGAAGTGGAGCTGGTGGTCGGGGGTCGGGACGTGGGGGTGACCAACGCCAACAAGACCGAGTACGTGGAGAGGATGGTGCAGTACTTGATGTTTGAGCGCGTGGCGCCGCAGCTGCAGCGGCTGGTGCAGGGTCTGTACGACGTGTTGCCCCAGGAGCTGCTCATGCCGTTCGACTACAAAGAGCTGGAGCTGATTTTGTGTGGGTTTTCAGAGATCGACGTGGGTGACTGGAAGCGGTCCACGAA